ATCTGTGACAATGGGGTCAGGAAGGCTAAAGCTCAGAATGAGCGAAGGCTTGTAACAAATGCAAAAAACAATTTATTTGGGCATGTGCAAAACAAGAGGAAAGTCAAGGAAGCTATCAGTCCTCTGGCTGGAGAAGATACATGCAGTCCTTGACTTATGACAGCAGTTGACACCAGAATTTCTGTTACTAAGTGATGCGGTCATAAAGTGCGACAGCATCGCTTAGCGATGGCAATCCCTGCAGTTTCAGTTGCCATTGTTAACTGAATCCCATGGTCATTAGGCGAGGCAACTTCCTGCCGGCTTCCCACAACCAAAGTCAGTGGGGAAGCTGGCAGGAAATACAAGTCCCAGGCCTGCAGGCAGGTAAGTGGCTGCTGTCAGGTCGGGGAGGGAGCGAGGGGGTACAGGGGAGGGTTGGGGAGGGTGCAAAGGGGTGCATGAGAGGTGCATGTCAGGGAATGTGTGCAACTGTGTGAGAGATGTGGCGCAGGTCAGGGAGGGTGCAGGAGGGTGTACATGAGGGTCAGGGAGGGTGCGCCAGAGTGTATACTAGGTGCAGGTCAGGGAGGTGCACAGGGGTGTGTGAGTGGCTGGTGCAAACACAGAGAGGCTGGGGGAGGTACGGGGTGGGGGAGACTTACCCTAGTGACCTGTGACCTTCCCTGTCGGCTTCCTCATTAACTTTCTGAGGAAGCTGGTAGGAAAGGTTGGAGAGTGATCATGTGATTGTGGGGCACTGCAACCAGTCATAAGTGTGAACTAATTGCCGAGTGCCCAGATCGTGATCATGTAACCATGGAGGTATTGGGACAGCCAGAACTCTGAGGACCGGTCATAACCACCATTCATTCAGCTCCACCATAAATTTGGTTGCTGAACAAATGATCATAGGTCAAGGGCTATCTGTAGTTAGCAGAGATGGGCAACAGAGAGAAGACTGAACTGCTTAATTCCTATTTTTGCATCTGTCTTTTCACACCATGGGAAGGCAGAAGAAAAATGCAGGTCAAAATAAGTAGGGATTGGTAATAGAAGTTCTAGCTGCTCTGAAAGAATTCAGTATCTGGGACCAGATGGGTTACATCCCAGGTGCTAAAGAAACTGGTGGATGTGAATTCAGAAGCACTGACTGTAACCTTTCAGGATTCCTGAAATACAGGGAAAGTGCCAGAAGACTGGAGAAGAATTAATCTTCCAGTCTTTAACACAGGGAAAGAAGTGGAGCCATGAAACTACAGATCAATCAATCAATCAATCAATGATTTATCTGATGGCCTGATTCAAACAGCACCATTTTCTCAGCAATAACATGAAAGTAGTTTGCTACTGCTGTGTTCAGATGTATTTTTTTCAACATCCCAGTCTAGCCTTGTTTTGCCCCAGCAAAGTGTGAGTAGGTTCAGGCAATGAACACACAAATGGGGTAAAACCTGAATAATTTATTGAGCAAAGCAAAACAATAACTGCTTTTAACTGCACAGTGTAATGTAGACAAGAAGATAGCCACAGACAAGGCAACAAAACAAGTAGTAGCTATATTCAGGGGAGGAACGCATGAGGAAAAGAATAGAGAGGCAAAGATGGACTCTTACATCCTTCAGCTTCATTCTGTCCTCCTCAGACAGCACTACGGGACTTCAGTCTTGGTGTCTCCTATCCCATCTCTAACCCGGGCAGACCCTGCTTATCTAGACAAGGTTGACCAGGTGTCAGAAATTAACCAATCCCACTGTAATCCCACCTAAGGTATTACAGGAGCCCAGTTAGTCTGCCTATCCATCCAGAATCTTCCACGTTGAATTTTAGTACTGTAGATCCCTCTTTTGAATTCTTGCTTTATCAGAGAAGGATAACTTATTTATTATCAGGGAGGGAACCAGACTGAGGCATAATCCCCTTAAAGGCTTTATCCCAAGTGGATCCTTTGGTGGTAAGCTCTTTGTCGTCAAAAACTTTTTCCACACTCCAGGCATGTATATGGTCTCTCCCCTGTATGGATACTTGCACTCCAAGACCCCTGCCACCCTGCACTCTGTCACCCCAACTGACCTTCGCTGACTTCTTACTCCCGCTGCTGCTGAGGCGTGCCTGTCCTGGCCCTTCGTGCCAAGAAGCCCCTTTGCGCTGCACTGCTGGACCGGGCTCAGCTGGGCTTCTGAGGTCTTCCAAAGCATCACAAGAACGGGGCATGCCTGACATTCTCCATTCCATCACAAGAACAGGGCATGCTATTTGGAGAATGGCATTTGTGCCCCATTCTTGTGATGCTTTGGAAGACCTCAGAAACCCAGCCCCAGCCCCAGCCCAACCCAGCAGTGTGACACAAAGGGGCTTCATGGCATAAAGGGTCAGGCCAGGCATACTTTGTCAGCAGTGGGAGCAAGGCAACGGCGAAAGTCAGCTGGGGTGGTGGAGCACAGGGGCGGCAGGGGTCTCAGAGTGCAGGGTGGCGAGGGTGACCGTGGCTAGGACTGGGCTGGGGCAGCTGTTTCCAGGGGTGGCTGCAACTTTGCACTGTGCCTCAGGGGCTTCTTTCAGCCCCAGCCATGGTGCATGAAGAAGCTCCTGAACCGCAGCTGACAAGCAGCCCCAGAGCCACACGGTTCTGGGGCTGTTTGCAGCCCCACAAGACAGGGTGCAGGAGGCCAAAAGGGCAGAGATGGGGGAGAGAGAGATGGGTGGGGAGAGTTGAAGTGCCCCTGCGGTTGTAAGCGTGGGCGGGTTGCCAAGCACCTGAATTTTGATCACGTGACCTTAAGGGCACTGCAAGGGCCATAACTTTGAGTACTAGCCATAAGTCCCTTCATTCAGCACTACTGTAACTTCAAACAATCACTGAATGAATGGTTGTTAAGTCGAGGACTATCTGTACATGCAAAAACTAACCTATTCAGAAACTAAACAATAGGGAGCATATTCTGGACTCTTTGAATGTTGTAAGTGTTGAAGAAACAAGTCTTGATGGGAAAGAAGATGCAACATATTCTATGGGTATCTGTCTTTTCTCATGTCTAACAAAACAAAGCCTTTATCACACATCAGTGTCTTCCATTGTTTAATTCCTTTCTGATGCATCACATATACCAAATGTATATATCATTTGTTTCTGTACCCTATATAAAGACTTGACACCCCCCCTTTATTTATTTAATTTATTGTTAAATTTGTCCTTGCCCATCTCCCCCCAATGGGGAACTCTGGGCAGCTTACAACTCAATAAAAACAATAGATATACAATTCAAAACCGATACACAGAGTTACAAAAATTAATGGGAAAAGTCCAGGAGGCCGATGGTTCTAGGTAGCAACGCCAGGCCTCTAAAGGGCTAGTCAACCCCACACCTGATGACTTCCCTCCTTAATAAATGCCTTTCACTTTGCCTGAAGTACTTATGATTCATGCTGTTCAGGGGGGGCACAAAAGCCACTTTACAAAGCTAGTATCTCTAGGAGGCCGATGGTTCTAGGTAGCAACGCCAGGCCTCTAAAGGGCTAGTCAACCCCACACCTGATGACTTCCCTCCTTAATAAATGCCTTTCACTTTGCCTGAAGTACTTATGATTCATGCTGTTCAGGGGGGGCACAAAAGCCACTTTACAAAGCTAGTATCTCTCTCCCAAATTCAGGGATCAAGTTTTTATCAGCTCCACACCAATTCAGGTGCCTGAGTTTTAAAGGCAACACAGCCTAGATATTTGGCCTTGGATATCAGCCAAATAGTAAACACATCTGACCCTGATTGTTTTTTTCAGATTGGGAAAGGTTTGAAGGGAATGCAATAATTCAGGTGGTGGTCAGATGGGATTCATGACCACCTAAAGCAACTGAGTTATCTCCAGTGGGAGGTAAAACATCTTCTGTCTACCTCCCACTGGAAAAACCTTCCCCAATGAATGAAATTTAGAGCAACGCAGGGCCTTACCCAGAGTGGCCATATTCCTTGAAACCTCCAGCATGACTTCCCTGCACAAGACCCTCTGGCCAGAATTCAGTAGCACCCACTCCATTTTAGTCTAATCTCACATGTTACAGGAACCCAGCTAGTGGGTCTGTCCATCCCAAATCTTCCACTCTCAATTCTAGTGAATCCCCCAATTAGGTTGGGCGCAGACCATGTATCGGGGTGGAAAAATGGCCACGGACCACGTGTCAGGGGCGGAAAAATGGCCATGGATCATGTGTCGGGCGGAAAAATGGCCGCGGACCACGTGTCGGGTGGAAAAATGGCCGCGGACCACGTGTCGAGCGGAAAAAGGCCGCGGACCATGTGTCGGGCAGAAAAATGGCCACGGATCACGTGTCGGGCAGAAAAATGGCCGCGGACCACGTGTCACGGGCGGGAAAATGGCTGTGGACCGTGTCACGGGCGGGAAAATGGCCGCGTATCCGGTTCGTACCCCGAGGCGGAGTTCGCACATTGAGGTAAATTTTTGCGGCCGGAGCTGGTCGTAACCCAAAAAGTTAGTTAACAGAAGCGTTCGTAACCCGAGGTTCCACTGTATTTCAATGCAACAAATGGACAAACCCAGCTTGGAGGTGAGTTTCTGGTTCAGGTGGTTGTGGAACCCCTCAAAATTGGATTGAGAAAACTGGGAAGACAGCTGCATGGAAAAGAAAGGAGGAGAAACAAGGAGATGGGGCCCAAAAGGAAGTAAATAAGAAAGAAGACAGGAAAGTCTCCTTTACAGTCCTTTTTTGGAGTTTTCTGAGCTTGCACGATTGTGTTTTCTACAGATGTTTTGCCTTGTGTTCCAGCAAGACTTGCTCAGCACAACAGTTTAGACAAGGGTATTGCATTGGTGTCTCCATAGTCTCTGTGCAATTTGAACTCTATGGGGCTGGTCGGTTAAGCTCAGACAACTGCAAAAAAGGTGTGTATAATGGACTTAGGCTACCATTATCCCCAGAGATCCTTAACATGTCCTTTCTCTTCCAATCTGAATTCCTGAACGTTTTCTCTGATCGATTGCCCAGGACAGAGGAAGCTCCCGGATGCTTTCAAGAAATCATGGAACAAATTTATTTATACAATTTATACAAACGAAAGATCTTTGCACGTTCCATGCAATAATAAGCTTCCTCCCGTGTCTGGATCTTTCAATGATGAATAAGTTGACTATTTCGAATGAAGCTCATTCCATGGATTTATATAGTTTTTCCTGTGTGCATCTTTTTATGAGAAATAAATGCACTATTCTCAATGAAGCTTGTTCCACATTCCAAGCATTTATATTTCTCTCTGGTGTGGATCACTTTATGAGAAGTAAAGGTGCTATAGTCATTAAAGTTTTTTTTCACACTCCATGCATTTATATGGACTCTCTCGTGTGGATCCTTTGATGGCGAGTAAGGTCTCTGTTGTCAATAAAGCTCTCTCCACACTCCATGCATTTATATGGTCCCTCCCCTGTGTGGATCCTTTTATGAGAATTAAGTTTTCCTTTCTGAGTAAAGCTCTTTCCACACTCCAGACATACATATGGCCTTTCCCCTGTATGGATACTTTTATGAGAATTAAGCTTTCCTTTCTCAGTAAAGCTCTTTCCACACTCCAGGCATTTATACGGTTTATCCCCTGCGTGGATCCTTTGATGACGAGTAAGGTCTTTGTTGCCAAAAAAGCTCTTTCCACACTCCAGGCATTTGTATAGTCTCTCGCCTGTGTGGATCCTTTGATGGGAAGTGAGTTCTCTATTCTCAATGAATCTCTTTCCACACTCCCTACAACTATAAGGTTTCTCCCCTGTGTGGATCCTCTGATGGCGAGTCAGGTAAGAGTTTCTACTGAAGCCCTTTCCACACACTGTGCATTTATAAGGTTTCTCCCCTGTGTGGATCCTTTCATGACAATTAAGGTGGTCTTTCTGAGTAAAGCTCTTTCCACACTCCATGCATTTATATGGTCTCTCCCCTGTGTGGATCCTTTTATGAGGATTAAGTCGTCCTTCCTCAGCAAAGCTCTTTCCACACTCTGTGCACTTATATGGTTTCTCCCCTGTGTGGATTCTTTCATGACGAGTAAGATGTCCTTTCTGAGTAAACCCCTTTCCACACTCCGTGCATTTATATGGACTCTCCCCAGTGTGGATCCTTTCATGATGACGAAAGGTGCTATAGTCATTAAAGATTTTTCCACATTCCATGCATTTATAAGGACTCTGCTCTGCCTGGACCATTTTGTGGCAAGTAAGGTCTCTGCTCTCAGTGAAATTCTTTCCACACTCTATGTATTTATATGGTCTCTCCCCTGTGTGGATCCTTCTATGAGAATTAAGTTGTCCTCTCTGAGCAAAGCTTTTTCCACATTCTGTGCATTTATATGGTTTCTCTCCTGTGTGGATTCGTTCATGATGAGTAAGATGTCCTTTCTGAGTAAACTGCTTTCCACACTCCATGCATTTATATGGTTTCTCACCTGTGTGGATCCTCTGATGGCGATTAAGATTACTCTTGCTACTGAAGCTCTTTCCACACTTCATGCATAGTTTCATTGTTCTGCTCAGATTGAAACCCTTCGCAAATTTTACAAAGGTATGTGGTTTGTGTTTCCCATACAGTTTCACAGGTAAAGCAAGAGAGAAGAAATGATTGATATATTTTCCATACTGTCTGTAGCCATACTCCTTTCCTTTAGTCTGACTTCTGCCATATTCACGTAAAACAAATTCATTTTTCTCTCTTTTCCTATATTTTCCCTTTCTCTTCCCTTTCTGATCTTGCTGGAATAGGAAGCCATGGCTTTCAACAGGGACAGAAATGGAGAACTTCTCCCCTCCATCTTCTGAGTGGCTTCTCTCTTGCCTTTTTGGATCCCGTTGATGGCCAAATGTAACTTCTTTAACTTCATGCTCTGCTGTTTGTAGTGGCATTAAGCTCACCTGATGGTCATTCTCATTCTCCCGGTCATCACCTGCTTAGATAAAAGAAATAGAAATTCCTGTTAGAATTTAGAACTGTTAAGGAGGGGGGGTCTCCCCCTCTCAAAAACATGCCCATTTGAGTTTGAGGTTTGGCACCAGCCATATGTCTGTCCAGCCACTTCCATGGAGCATCTATGGCATTTCTGAAAGCTATTGTGAACATTTCTGCCAAGGCTTAAGGAGAGATGACCACCCTAAGCCACTGAGTGCAGACATGTTCCCTGTTTACCTCCCACTGAAAAAACCTTCCCCAATGAATGGAGCCCAGAGCAATGCAGGGCCTTACCCAGAGCGGGCATATTCCTAGAAACCTCCAGCATGACTTCCCTGCACAAGGCCTTCTGGCCAGAATCCAGCAGCGCCCACTCCTCTTCCGTGAAGTCCACAGCCACCTCCTCAAAGGAACCAGAGCCCTAGAAAGAGAAAGATGATGTTTTTTAGCAGATAATCCCACAAAAGACTTGTACGTTCTCTCTTATTGCATGAAACAGAAAAAAGAGCTTTGCAAGGCACCAAACGGACATTTTCTTGCAGGGCAGGTTTATGTCTGGATGTCCACATAGTCCTTGTGCCTGTGAAGCCCCCCCCCCCGAGGCTGCTGCTGTAACTGCACGAAACATGACTGCATCCAACTTGTAGAATGGCAACACAGCCCCCTTGGGGAGCCTCCCACTGGCCCGGAATAACTCACCAAGTAGGTTTTGGGGAGCAGAATCCCCTGGTCTCACCTGCTTGGGGAGCAAATTCCAAATTCCTTAGAAAATACGACACACTCACTAGGAATTTCTTTCCCGGCCTCTTTCAAAATGTTGGCAATGGGCCTGGGAATCCCAAGTCACTTGACCAACAGTCTTACTCTGTTGCAGCCACTTAGCATTGACTCAGGAGTTTTTACATGGGAAATCTGTCCTTCATATATTCATTTTTAAATGGATATGCTTGGCCTGTCACTTGGCCTGGGGCAGAGAGGGAATACC